GGTGGCCCAAGAAGAGCCCAAGAGGAGCCCCAGAGGGCCCCGAGGGGTTTTATCAAGGCCTCCAAGGCGACCCAAGAGTGCCGAGAGAGCCCGAAGACAGGCCCGGCCGTTTTCGTGAGGATGTCCCGAACGACACCGCTGACACCGACCAAGTTTGATCGGTGTGGGCCGCCACAAAAATGCTCACAGATGGCCCAAGAAGAGTCCAGGAGGAGCCCAAGAGGGCCCCGAGGGGTTTAAGAAAGCCTCCAAGACGACCCAAGAGAGCCAAGAGAGCCCGAAGACAGCCCCAGGGGAGCCTGGTCGATTTTGTGAGGACCTCCTGAGCGAAACCGCCGACACCGACCAAGTTTGGTCGGGGTGGGCTCGCCAAAAAGAGCCCAAAGATGACCCAGTAAGATCCCAAGAAGGGCCCAAGAGGGCCCCGAGGGGGTTTAAGAAAGGCCACCAAGACGACCCAAGAGAGCCAAGAGAGCCCGAAGACAGCCCCAGGGGAGCACGGCCGATTTCGTGAGGATTTCCCAAGCGAAACCGCCAACACCAACCAAGTTTGGTCGTGGTGGGCTCCCAAAAGAAACCCAAACATATCCCAGTAAGATCCCAAGAAGGGCCCGAGAGGGCCCCGAGGGGTCTAAGAAGGCCACCAAGACGACCCAAGAGAGTCCAGAGAGCCCGAAGACAGCCCCAGGGGAGCACGGCCGATTTCGTGAGGATGCCCAAGGCGAAACCGCCGACACCGACCAAGTTTGGTCGGGGTGGGCTCCCCAAAAAGAGCCCAAATATGGCCCAATAAGAGCCCAAGAGGGGCCCAAGAGGGCCCCGAGGGGATCTAAGAAGGCCTCCAAGACCGCCCAAGAGAGCCAAGGGAGCCCTAAGCCAGCCCCGGAGAGGCCCGGCCGTTTTCGTAAGGATGTCCCGAGCGAGACGGCCGACACCGACCAAGTTTGGTCGGGGTGGGCCCCCCCGAACCAAACCCAGATGGCCCAAGAAGAGCCCAAGAGGCGAGGAGGCGCGCCGAGAGACTGGCGGTGGTGGTGGTGGTCGCATGCGCAGGGAAGCAAACAGGCGGGGGCAACCGTGCTGCGCCCTCCGCAGAGGATCTGGGCGCGCGGCGGGCGCGCTCCGTGCGCCCTGCACTATGGCAGGGGCAGCGCGCATGGGCGCGCAGTCATCTGCTCCGCCTGGCGGCCTTGCGGCTGTCCTGAATGGCGCGCTGGTCCGCTGCGCGCTCCCTCTCAGATGCGCGGCGGTCCGCTCGGCGCTCCGCGTCCGCGCTGGATGCTGCTATCACGGGCGTGCGCAGCTGATCTCGGCTCTGGATGGCGACCGCGCCGCCGCTCTGAAACTCTAGCGTCAGCCCCCTCGAGAGCGCGCCCGCGACCAGCGCGACCCTCCACCCCTCGCGAAGAGACGCGGTGCACGGCTGGCACGAGTGTGCGAGCGCCTTGGTTTTGGGTCAGAGTCTTGATGGATGCCTCCTGGGGTCTCGTCGGATGGCTCTCGGGGGCCTCTGAAGGGCATCTGTGAAGCCTCCTGGGCGCCTCTTGGGCGTCTCTTGGGGCCTCTCTGAGGGACTGAGGTGGTGGTGGTGGTTTTGGCGGTGGTGGTGGTGGTGGTGTTATGGTGATTCGTGGTGGTGGTGGTTGGTGTGGTGGTTGTGGTGGCAGGTTGTGGTGGTGGTGGTCGTGGCAGTGGTGGTGGTGGTGGTGCGGTGGTTTCTGGTGGTGGAGGTGGTAGTTTACGGTGGTGGTGGTGGTGGCGGTGGTGGTGGTCTGGTTTGTCGTGGTGGTTGTGGTGGTGGTAGTGGTTGATGTGGTGGTGGTGGGTTGTGGTGGTTGTGGTGGTGGTGGCTGTGGTGGTGGTTGTGGTGGTTGTGGTGGTGGTTTGTTGTGGTGGTGGTGGCAGTGGTGGTGGGTGGTGCTGGTGGCGGTGGTGGAGGTCGTGGTGGTGGTGGTGCGGAAGTTTGTGGTGGTGGTCGTGGTGGTGGGCTGTGGTGGTGGTGGTGTTGGCGGTGGTGGTGGTTGTGGTGGTGGTGGTATGGTGGTTTGTTTTGGTGGTGGTGAATGTGGTGGTGGGTGGTGGTGTTGGTGGTGGTGGTGGTGGTGGTTTGGTGGTGGTGTGGTGGTGGTTTGTGGTGGTGGTGGTGGGTTTGTGGTGGTGGTGGTGGGTTTTTTGGTGGTGGTGGTAGTTATGGTGTGGTGGTTTGTGTTGGTAGTGGTGGCGGTGGTGGTTGTCGCGGTGGTTTATGGAAGTGGTACTGGTGGTGGTGGTGGTGGCGGTGTTGGTGGTGGTGGTTGTGGTGGTTTGTGGTGGTGGTGGTGTGGTAGGTTGTGGTGGTGGTGGTTGTGGTTGTGGTGGGTTGTTGTGGTGATGGTGGTGGTGTTGCGGTTTGTGGTGCTGGTGGTGGTGATGCTGTGGTGGTAGTGGTTGTTTGATGGTTTGGTGGTGGTGGTGGTGGGTTGAGGTGGTGGTGGTGGTCGTATGGTTGGTGGCGGTGGTGGTGGTGGTGTGGTGGTTTGTAGTGGTGGTGGTGGTGGTGGTGGTGGTGGTGGTGGTAGTGGTGGTGCTCGGCTGTGGTGTTGGTGGTGGTGCTGATGCTTGTAGCGGTGCTTGTGGTGGTGGTGAGTGGTGGGTGGTGGGTGGTAGTGGTGGTAGTGGTGGTGGTTGTGGTGGTGGTGTGCTGGTTTGTTGTGGTGGTGGTGGGTGGTGGTGATGGTTGTGGTGGTGGCGGTGGTGGTGATGGTGTTGGTAACGGTGTGGTGTTTTGTGGTGATGGTTGTGGTGGTGGGTTGTGATGGTGCTCGTGGTGGTGGCGTTTTTGGTGGTGGTGGTGGTGGTGGTGGTGGTGTAGTGGTTTGTGGTGATGTTGGTGGTTGTGGTGGTGGTGGGTTGTGGTGGTTGTGGTGGTGGTGGTGGCGGTGGTGGTGGCGGTGGTGTTGTGGTTTGTGCTGGTGGTGGTGGTGGAAGAGGGCGGGTTCGGGAGGGGGGGGGCTAGCGGGGAGGGGGGGGGCCAACCCCCAGGTTCGAAACGCGCCGCCGAACGTTCCCAAGACAAGCTCCCGTGAAACGCGCTCTCTCATAGATAGATATATAGATAGATACATCGTGAGATCGATTTACAAAGTGATTGTGACATCGATAGCACTTGAGATCGATGGTTTGTCAGACCAGCATGCAAATAGCATGTCGATCGACAGTGCCGCCGGTATGCCATAGGTTGACCGATCGAAGGATATTGAGCGGGGTTGCCCTGCTGTCGTTCCGTTGTTGTTCCGCCCGTGTCGATATATAATTAGTGAGGCGGGCATCCTGCGGTGTCCCCGTCGTTGTTTTGTGGTTGTCCCGTCTGGAGATGGTCCGATAGTGAAACCACTCGGTGAATTTTGGGGTGGGTGGATGGACAGTGACAGTGATGGGTAGTGATACCGGTCGATCGAGAGAATCGGTAGTTAGGGGTACGGCTATGTATATTTTTCGAAAGTTGGGTATTGATTTTGATGTCGAGATACACAGCGTAAGATTGTCAGTGAGACCGACTGACACAATCCCGTTGGTATATGGGTAATGAGTGAGGGACATATTGACCGCTAGATCGATACAACTATCAACAGACATCGATGGTAATCTTTGCGCGTGGAGGCGTCGGTTGATAATTTGGCGGTGGGGTCGGTGGACACAGACAGTGAGCCCACTAGACTGGGGCATCGAAAGACGGATAGCCCACCTGACACGCCCCGACGCCGCTCGTAATCCGAAGGTTGTTCCCGCTTCCCAACCTCGGGGATATGTAAGCGTGACCTTTCGCCTGAGTGACCTCGGTGCGGTCGCATTGGGGTCCCCAGATGTTTGAATGCAATGCGATAGCCCCGGCTTGCGCGCTCCGATGCGGCCTCCCCGCGGCCCCTGAAAGTCGCGCACCAAAGATCACTCTTGCCTATGGTTAATCTGGCGCTTAGCCGACAACCTTACTATCACCCGAACGGTGGTGCTGTAAGTATACGTTGCATCGCGTGGGTTGCGCCTCACATGCCGCTCTCCATACCCTCACGGTCCACGCTGTGTTGTGTCCAGACTTGCACGGGGCCTCGGTACAGTCCGGTGTATTTTGAGGCACGGTGGCAGGTATGACCATGATAACGAGCATGAGTAGGACGAGGGATGCAGAAGATGACGGGTGATGGCGGATGATTTGTGAAGACGGGGTGGAAGAGCTTCCGTTTGAGAAGGCGGAAGAGGAAGAGCAGGAGGAGTAGCGGGCGTGGGTGTGGAGGGGATGGGGAGGAGGATGGCCAGGAAACAGAAACATATGAGTAGCAGAAGTTGCGGGAGAGTGACTAGGCTCAGGAGCACGATGCATAGCAGGAACATAAGGGGGGCAGAACTAACATAGTGAACAGGCACAGGTAATCGCAACACAGAAGGATCAGGATTGTGGTGTTCATCATGATGTGTAGCAGCACGAAGGTGTCCATGATGAGGGATGGGGACAAGGCGGATAGGCAGGATCAACGTGATGGTGATGACAATGTTGTTGATGTTGCTGTTGCTGACGATGATCTGGTGTAGGCCGCGGAAGAGAATGAGGAAATGGATGGCGAAGCAGCTGCGGATCGGCATGGTATGACAATGTGATGTTTATGCGAATGAGGAAGGCGACCACGATGTTGATGATGCAGGGCATGATTTAGGGTGTTCATGAAGGTGATGGTGATGATTATGAGGAGGAGGAGGAGGAGAAGAAGGAGAAGGAGGAGGAGGAGGAGGAGGAGACAGATGGGCAGGGTAAGCAAGTGGAGGGGAGGAGGAGGTACAGAGAAGAGAAGGAGGAGGTTCTAGGAGGAGCAGGGGCAAGAGCAGGAAGATGATGGGAGGAAGTGCCCAGGTGAAGCGGGAAGGAAGGCGAGAGGAGTACGATGATGATCAAGATGAAGAGGATCAGTGAGGGCGGGAGGCGGGAGGAGGGGGCAGGATGACGAACCATCATCCCCTCCCCTTGCCAGTCCGTGCTCGGCGACATCTTCTCGTGCGTGGTGCTGGTGCTGCCGAGCTCCTGCTCTGGTCCACCGGGCTTTTTGTTGACGTACGTCCCGTCGTCGTGCCCTGTGGGTGTCTCCAGGTCGCAATGTCTTGGAACTCCAGTGGCCCTCGGTGTCGAATCATCGCGCGCCTCCTCCTCGCCTCCTCGCTGTCCGTCCTGTGCGCCTGCTGTGTATGGGCAGCCAGGCTCCCGCTCCCGCCCCCTCGCTCGCTCGCTCGTGTCACGGCCTCCCTGCCCTGACCACCAGCCTCCAAGGCATGGGGTAGAATTGTACACTCGCAATCGACACGGACCCGCCAGGACGAGCCCTCCACTCTGTCCCCAGGCTTGCCGCGGTGTGGCTGTGATGGCCCGTTGCGCGGGTGGCGGTGCGCGGTGGCCGTGGAGGAGGGGAGGGGAGAGGCGGAGGAGGAGGGGAGGCGGAGGGGGAGGTGGAGGAGAAGAGGAGAGGCGAACAGTAGAGGGGAGGTGGACAGAAGAGGCGGAATAGGAGGAGGGAAGGAGAAACGGGAGGGCCAGGATATAGGATGAGGAGGATGAGGAGGAGGAAGAGGTCTAACGCATTGATCTCCAATCCATGTCTGCGCAACGTCAAAAAGAAGCAGGAGCAGGAGGAGGAGGAGGAGGAGGACGAGGACGAGAGGCGGAGGAGGCACACTGGCCCGTGGGCCGGCCGGCTTTGCGGAGCGCCGCTCTGCAGGCAGGGACATAACGCCATTCGATGCTGCTGCGGCGGGAGTGCCATGGCACGCAGCAAGGACGTGGAGGATGTGTGGGAGGGCATATAAGCCGAGTGCGGCTTTCGCGCGGCCCGCCAGGTCCACGCTCCCGCGTGGGACTGTTGTGCCTGGCGCTGCGCTGGCTGTAACGCTGGCGGCACGACTTACGAGCAGCGTGGGCCTGGCGTCGCTTGCGGCTGCCCTAGGGACTCTCGCCGCGAGGAAGCGACCTTCGATCTCGAGGCCCAGCACGCCGGGCGCCCGCGCCTTTTCCTGGACGTTACCGTTCGGTACGCACCGCCAGGGGACGCCGAGGCGTTGGCGGCGGCAGCCAAGCGCGACGGCCCTGCCAGCAAGGCCGCCGAGGCCGACAAGCAGCAACGAAACCCCGTGGCCGATGCTGCACCCAGAGCTGGAGATCAGGGGACGGCACTCCAGGGCGGCGCTGCGCCAGCTCCGGAAGCTGGCGCGCGGCCCCTCGCGGAGCAGCTGGACGAGGGGATCGCGCCTCGGCGCTGGCGAGCACCTTGGCGCAGTGCTGGGGGCGGTCAGCTGGGCGTGGCGCTCCACAGCGCCACCGCCCGCCAGCCGCGAGCCGCGCTGGGCCAGGAGCGTGCGCAGGCGTCGCGCGCCACCCTTGGCCGAGGCGCAGGCCGGCCGGGTGGGCTGGGCTGGGCCGGCGCTTTCTCGTGTTCGGCGACCGGTTCTTGAGTGTCCCGGGGGTGAGCAGTGGAGCGCGCGGGCGCACACACCGTGCTAGCGTTCTCAGGAAGAGGAGGGAGAGGAAGAGGAGGGGGAGGAGGCGGAGGAGGAAGAGGAGGAAGAGGAGAAGGAAGAGCAGCAGGAAAAGGAAGAGGAGGAGAGGACTTGGGGAGGAGGGAGGAGGAGGCGGAGGGGGAAGAGGAGGAAGAGGAGGAGGAGGAGGAGGAGGAGGAGGAGGAGAAGGAAGAGGTTGGGTATGAATGCGAGAGAAGACAGCAGGATTCCAGTCGGTAGCGTTGCCACATCTGGTCATGCTCCCCCCCTGTGGAGGTTGGCTCTGGATAGCTCACCATCGCTGATACATGGAAGATGCACGCATGACTCAAACGCTGGAAGCCTGGCTCCACAAGGACCCTTCCCCCACCGTTCCGATCCGCTCCCACACGGCGGGATTCTCTAGCCTTGGCCATGGCTTCGAGGGACGCCCCCCTGCTTTCCCGAGGCGGGGACATCCCAGGGTGCTCATCAGGGAAATCCCATATCGCGCGCCCATCCAACACCATGAAGTCAGTACGCTACGCCTTTCTGTCCTTTCTTCGGGCACGTCAGTGGAGGAGATCATACCACATGTATCAGTCTCACGGTGTTGCCTCTGGGTTAGGTCGCCCTCACAATAGTTACAGCAAAGTCAATCGGAGAAGGATGAACCCCTCTTGGTCCCTCGGCGGCAAAAACGTCAAACATACGCTCCGTTAGCCACCCCGCTTTAATCATGACCCGACGGCTCTTCCAGTTCGACACCGCATGGACGCTCACCCCCCTCCCCCTCCCCGCTCGGGAGTCCTAGTTGGGCGGTTGCTGTCCTGCGCCGCCATCGCCGTCGAGATGGCAAGGCCAGGGAGGCGAATGTGGCCAGGCCG